GCCAGAAAGTGGCCTTACAAACCTCTAGTAACACAAAGCAATATGGCAGCCCAGAGAGATACTTCTAGACAATGACATTGGCAAAAGCTGCCCCCCGACAGTACACACTCCAAACAACTAGCATCGTTGGTTCTAGACACTGAATTTTACCCTTCCCTTTAAGAGAAGTGACAACTTATGCAAATTCTACTTTGAGCATTTTCCTACAGTAGCTGAGATTCTTAAGAAAAGGAAAATGAGTTCGAGTTGCTTTTTAATTTGCCTGAACTCTGGGATAAGAAACTACTACCAACCACAACGGATTCCAAATCCCATGTTCTGTTCCACAATGCAGTAAGACTTTGTTCTAAAGGGCGGCAGTGAGATGTTCAGTTGAAATGGCTATAATTTGTGGCTCACCTCATGGCATCCACCTCATTTCAAATCTATATTTGTCTAACACAGCTGAGTAAAATATTGACCAGAAACAATTTCAAATCCTTTTAGAAATCAGGGAAAGAACGAGGAAAGAAAGAAATTGGCCTGAACGGCATTCCCCAAACATGCAAAAATTTGAAACTCAAGTTAAAGAACCCTATTCCCAAGCTGCTAATGAACATGAAGCCTCAGATACTGCACATTGGGAACAGGCAATCAAAAGACACATCGAGCAAGAGCACTTATAAAACCAAGTTATGAATGAAATTTAAATTTTTCCAGATCATTTATTAAGAATAAAAGGCACTATTATCATCCTTTTTAAAGGTAACAAACCTTAAAAAAAAAAAAAAAGGTTTTTAGTATAAAACGGTATAAAGCGACGAGTCGGCCTCCCTCCCATACCACTGCCCTCCCAGAAGGCCACCCATCTCAGGCATCTCCTGAGGTGGTCTACGAGTATACAAGTATACAAGCACCGAAGACTGTTCTGTAGCACCCCCCCACCCCCCGTTTTTTAAACTTACAGAAGATAACACCTTTTCAAACGCCCACAGCTCTAAGTCTCCAGGGCCATGGGAAGGTCTCATCTTTTCTTTATTCCTGAAATCACTAAAGACAGCAGGGACTAGAAATCATCCCCCTATGATTGTCAGTAAGTTTCATTCTTTTTAATTTTATTTAGGTTCCACTCTGTGAGAAAAAGACAAATGAAAACCAGAGCTGATGCCAATTGTCATAAATACTATTCCACTGAAACCTTCATTTTGCCATTGACAGCTGGTTACAGACAAAACACTACACAATCAATGCTCTTTTCCAGAGATAAGATGTTCCAGAAGTCCCATTTAGTGGAATATTTCCACTAAAACCAGGGAGTCTTAAAACACATGTAGAAGCAAGTTAGGGCTGTCCATTGCCCAGGGGATTTGCAACAGCCCATTTTAGAATGCTGCTTAACACCCTGCCCGCAATAGCTGCTCCAGTTTCCCATTCCTTTGTCATCATTTTCACAAAAAGCCTGAGAAGATCAGGTGGGGTTGGCAGGAGGGCAGAGAAAATGTTTTCAAAGGAGGAGATCTTGAGGATATTCAAAAGCCTTAGGGGTGGGTTGGGGGGGGTCTAAAATGAAAGGCTCATAAGGGCAAAGGGAGGAGGCAGGCAGACTTTGGAGCTGGTGATGGTGGTAAGGGGGCTGGAGAGATCAAGACTAAAGAAACTCACAACCTGAAAATGGGAAAATTAAGGAGCCCAACGAGAACATGGAGGAAGCTCAGCGGGCGACTCTTCTGGGAAATGGACTAAGCCAATACAGAACAGCTGCATTATGCCAGAAGCCCACAAATAGGTGAAAATGTATATGACTGAGAGCTGATTTTCTCCTATCAGTCAATGGTGGTTGAGGGGTATGGGTGGTACCTGAAACACATACAACTACTACAACCATCACAGTATATTTTTGCTGCTTTTTATCTTGCAGGATTTATCCTCAACATTTTGAAGATATCCTAAATATCTTCTAAATTGTGGCCCTGCAAATCATGGTATCTGTTTGGCCTTCTTCACAGGATTTTCTCACATCTGATTTCATTGCAAAATTATTGATTTTTTCAGGCATGTTTTTCATTTAGTGAACCTTCAATTAATGGACTTTCGGATGATATAATTATAGGATGAAAAAAATATCTGAAATACATTAACAGGGAATTAACAGTCATCAAAATGGCTTGAAGAAGTTCCAGTGCATATAAAGAACAATGTACTTAGTTTACAGGCTACTGGTAAAAGATGCTGGAGCTTTCTGTTTGCCAGCCAAAGGCACAGCCCTATGCCAACTTCATAAATACCATTTATAACTTACTCAGCCAACCAGATTTAAAATTATGCAATTCTAAAACTAATTTTCTTGATTTGGGGGAGTCACAGTATTTAAAACTTTTTATATAAGGCCTTGTTACTATTTTTATATCACATTATCTCATTTGTATAATTCATATTTGCATAAAATAGAATCATACCATATTCTTTAGCATGTGTCTTCATTTACTTCTTAGAAAGGACTTCATATGGAAAATCTACCCTCTACCCTCTCTCTGTTGAAATCCTCCACATCTCCTTTCTCTCCCTAAATGATCTTACACAGTCTCGTGGCTTTAACTACCATCTACATGTTGATGACTTACAAAGGTACCATTTCCAGCCCCAGCCAGCTCTACATCTCTACAAGAATGGGCACCTCAAACTTAACTGGCACAAACAGAACTCTTAGGGTTCCTCTTTGTTCCCCACCTCAGTAAACTGCAACATCATTCACCCAGCCAAAAACACTGGACTCGTCCTTGACTCCTCTTTGTTCATACCCCACACCCAATCCAGCAGGCCCCACCTTCAAAATATATCATGAGCCTGAACACTTCCTATCACTACAGTATTACTACCCTAATCCATGCCACACCCTTATCTCTTGCCTGGACCACTCGAAGGGCCTCCAACAGGTTACACTCATTCTACTCTTGCCCCGAAAGTCTAATCTGCACTCAGGAGCCACAGGAATAATTTTAAAGCACAAAGAATATCACTATTCTACTCCAGCTCCTCCAGTGGAATTCAAATCACTGTCAGAGTAAAACCCAAACTCCCTATCATGGCCTATAAGACCTGGCTCCCACCTACCACTCTGATCTCATTTCATATCACTCTCCTTCCCTATAACCATCCCCAGCCCATGTCCAGCCAAACTGGCTGCCTTCCTGTTCCTCTATCACACCAATCTCATCCTACATCAAAGGTCTTTCTTTTTGCTTTCTGTTCCCACTGCCTAAACACTCCTCTCCAGATTCCTTTACTCCAGGTCACTGTACACATGTGTGCCTGCACACATACATGCACACACATGCCTTTTCAGACCATTCTTTCAAAAAGAGTCCCTCCAGCTCCTGACCTGGTTTTTTTCACAGCACTTATTACTACCTAAAATTATGGTTTGCTTCATTCATAAAACAATACTTAGCAACCATCAGGCACAAGGTGGTCTTCTAAGAGCTGGCCATATGGCAGTGAACAAGACAAGCAAAGACCCCTGCCCTCACATTCTTGTGTGCTGTCCACACTCATATCTAAGCTCCAGGGTGGCATGGACACATAGTGTGTCTTGTGACCACTGAACCTCCAGTGCCCAGAGCAGTGCCTTGGCACAGAGCAGGTATTAACACATATCTGATGAATGGATAAAATGCCCTGCTATCTAAAGGCATCTGCTTTCTTGAGGACTCCTATGACAGAGTTCTTCCTGCCTACCGGGTGGAGTTCAGGTGGTGGGACCCAGAATGTCTACTGTGTCCCCTTAGACAGAATAGTCTGGACCACCAAGTTGAGTTGGCTTCCTAAGCCTGGGCCTGCCTGACCTGACTGACTGCCCTTCCTTCCTGCTCCAACCCCCAGCACACTGTAAGTTCCCCAGGTGTCCAGGCCACTGGGATTTGTCTCACTGGGTCACAAAAGTACCCGATCCACATAGTGGGAACTGACCAGGCAGTCAGCATTAAACAGGCCAGCTTTCTTCTAAAGAGTGTCTGGAATCAGGATGTATGGGCCATACTGCCTCCCTGGCTCATGGTGAACATTCCCCTCAGTAGCTCACCTGAGACCCTCAACATCACACCTAGAAGCACTCTCATCTCAGCATTGGAACACACTGCTGTTAAGGACATATTTTCACCTCTTTCAACTGCTATAGAGGCAAGACGTTTACCTGCTGTGATGAGTAATTAGTTTCTTTTGAAAAGGAAGAACATTTGTTAACTGTGAAATTATCTGATCCCAAATAAAAAAGAAGGTAACTGTGAAATGCAGTTTACTTTCAAGAAAATGGCAGCTGTAGTGGTAGGAAGGGGGAAAAAAAGAAAACGTAAATTTCTTGAAGAACCAGTCTGGTATTTAAAATATCAGAAAACAGGTATTTAAAAATCATGTTCCCAATACACGTGTTCACATTTTAATATATTTGTCAGCTCAGAAGTGCCCTGCTTTTATACCCTCTCTCATGGGATTGGAGGAGACGAAGATGTCTACAAACATCACAAAAGCAAAGGCAGGAAGCCCCCAGCTGGTGATCAGTAGAAGTCAGGTGAGTTTGGCAGCTATTTCTTCCTACACCTGGCACTCCAGCTTGAAAAGGCATGTTAATAAAGTTAATAAAATTGGTGTTGGGGGGCAGGGGGATTGCACTGCTCTACATCTCAGAGCCAAATAGTACTACCTTGTATTTGCCCAGCTCTTATTCCCTTTGAGGCATTCTCACATACATTATTTCTTCTCATCTTCAAAGCAAGCAACCCTGTGATATAAGCAAGGCAGGCTACATTTCTCTGTTTTGGGCCCTAAAATGTCAAATAATTCACCTAAGATCCCACAGTAAAAATGGCAGAACCAAGTAGGTACCAGAACCCAGATATGCCCAGGCCCAGCCCAGCGTCCCTCCTTCTATAATAAAAAGGACAGCATTGTTCTCTGCAATTCACATCTACAGTCAACTGAAAATGTTTCCCTTCACTGAAGCAAAAGGGAAAAACACACATATTCACCAGTGGTTTAAGGCAGTGGGAAGATGCATTGGTCCTGGAGCTCTGAGCTGAGAGAGGGTTTCACAAACTCTTCCAACGGATGCCAACTCCTGAAATGACAAACGTACAAAACACCTGGTGTGAATCGCAGGCACCCTGTGGCCCCTCCCCATGGGGGCCCATCCAAATACCAATTGCCATGCACCCCATTTAAGCTCAAAGCCCCCTTCCTCCTCTTCCAGCTCAACACCCTTCCCCACCCTGACTTCCCAAAGTAGAACAAGAATCTTCAGTTCACCAGCTGAAATGGTCCTCATTAGAATTATAGGATCTTGGGCAGAGAGGAGCTTTAGAGATCAACTTTAACAGGGATCAAAAAACTGAAAGCACAGTGGGTCACATTTAGCCTGAAGAGGTGTTACATTTCACTGACAGGATATGTTTAGAAAATCTGAGCCAAAACTTAAAAATCAGAGATGTCACACAAAAACCCAGACTTCTGACTCCTCTTTAAAAAAAAAAAAAAAAATCAGATCGGTCAACATGGCCCTTGTTCATGTCTGACAATGATCAGCTGGTACTAAATAGCAGTTGTCCTCAGGCTTGGCTGCTCCAATATGCCCCAGTACCCTCTATCGTTTCCTCAACACAGAGAGGAACTGTGATTGTCATTTATCACTGCACTTACATTATTTTTCTTGTGGTACAGCAACGTTTTCCTCTACTTATGATTCTAACAAAGGTGGGAAATAAAAGAAAAAGGGCCAAGATCCAAGGGGGAAAAATGGTACAGCACATACAGCAACAAATTAGTAGCCACACTCCTGCAGACAATCTGCAATCCCTGAACAAGCGTAGCGTTTCCATTTTACACAAATTAATTGTGAGTGAAAACCTGACTTGCCCACTCCTACAGTTAGAAGCAGAGCTCATTCTAGAACCTAGGTCCCTTGACTGCCAATCCAGGACTCTTTCACCATGCCCCACTTCACAGTAGTCTTATACCATGACGCAAAAAATAAGTGCATGCATGCACACGTGTGTATTCTCGAAATTAGTAAGTAGCTTTAAGAGAAGTATTAAAGCCAAGGAAATACAGTTGAAGCATCCCACCCACTTTCTACTAAAATGCTTGCCACACCTTCATTTATCACCAAAGAATATAAGACTAAATTATATCAGATTCCCTAAGGGTTTGTTTACTAATGTGACATTTTTCAATAATTTCACTTCTTCAAGTACCTAATAATAACAATCTTAATAATAATCATCATCTCACAAATACTGTGCATCTACTACTTCAAAAGTGCTCAGTTAATGTCCCAAACTGTTTAGAACACTCTTTATAGTAGGAAAATCTCCCTTAATATGCATCTTGAATACAAGACTGTAAATAAGCTTATGTGCAAGGTACTGGCACTGTAATAAGTGAGCAGTGTTCAACTATAACATCTTGGTAGGAGTTATTTATATTGCTCCCTCAAAGAATTTATTGATTCATTCACTCAACAAATATTTACTGAACCCTATCATACTCCAGGCAGCATGGTAAGTGATGGAGAGACATAAGTGAACAGGGCCCTGAAGTTGCTCTATCTGAATTAAAGACATATCCAGACACTCAAAACAAATTATAAAACAATGGGTGAGTACAATGATCTGGATATGCATGTGTGTTATGGGAACACTGAGCAGGGGCACCTAATGCAGCAGCTATAAACACATTTCCTAGCATGGACAGAGACCTAAGGAAATCCTAACTAAAGCACAAGGAGCAGGAGGCAGGGATCACAGGCCATGGGACAACATAGGCAAAAGCAAGGAGGTGAAAACAGCCCCTCCAATTTGGTCTTGTCCAGATCTCATAATCCTATCACCACCTTGTGGGTCTTAAAAACCCCTGCCTTAGGCCACGTGACCCAATATCTGCTGAGACTTGATGCAGAGCCCTACATGCCCACTCTGGGCAGGCAAAAGCAAGGAGGTGAAAACAGCCCCTCCAATTTGGTCTTGTCCAGATCTCATAATCCTATCACCACCTTGTGGGTCTTAAAAACCCCTGCTTTAGGCCACGTGACCCAATATCTGCTGAGACTTGATGCAGAGCCCTACATGCCCACTCTGGGAAGTTTATCTCGCCAAGTGCCCACATCAAGAATGCCACCAATTCAGCTCTGGTCCCTGACAATGCCTATCTATGACTCCCTCAGGACAACCAGTGCTGCCCAGAGTCTGCAGGGCCCAAGAAACAAGGTGGCAGAAACACTGAGCCTTCCCTAATGTCTCTAAGAAGTAAAAAAAAAAAAAAAGAGGTTTTTGCTGCGTCAGTCACAAGACTTTCATGTCCATCTCCACCCCAGGGCCTGGAATTCCACAGTAAGAATCTACTATGCATTCATTCCTCAAGCAGGAAGTTCTGTGAGAAAATGTCCCAGAATACCTGCCTGTCAAAATCCCCAAGTGAAATTCTCCTTTTCTTCATAGATAAGAAAGATGAGCCACCAGCCCCCTGATCTAGGCTGAGGCAAAGTCAGGGGCAAGAACTCCAAAAAGACAAGCTGAAAAAGTACATAACGAGGAGTAAAGGCCAAATAAGTGGCCATGGTCAGGGTTCAAGGACAGTAAAAGGAAACAAGGTGGCAGAATTCACCTGAAGAGTGGGAAGAGCTTCCCTGGATCTGTAACTGGTAGACAGGTTCCCAAATCTGGCTGAAAATTAGAATCACCTGGAAAACATTTTTTTAAAAAGCCCTAGGTCCCAGATCATTAAATCAGAATCTTTGGTTTGGAGGCCTAGGCATTGGTCAAAAGCCTGACACAGGTGATTCTGATGCCCAGCTCTTAAAGGGCTATTTCACCCAGAGGTCTCAGAAGCTTCAGAACCATCTCTTCAAGGTCATTAATTCAGCATCCTCCAGAAGGATCCAAGGACCTAGGTTTTACGGGAATTGTACATTCTTAGTATGTTTGCCCACTTTCTGCATCACATTATGACAATCACCACTTAACTCCTCTTTATTTGAAATAAACCAACAAAATACTAGCAGCCAGTTGGCAGCCAGGTAAGTGAAGGGGGCCTTCCTCTGCCCCAGTCCCTTATATACCATGACCCAAAGTCAGTGCCTCCAGATAAACTACTGGGGTTGTCCAACCTCAGCAGATCGGAGTTCATACACTTGTGTAGGTTCACATCCTGCAGAACAAAGGATCTGGGAGCATCCAGTTAGTCATCAGGGTGGCCTTCGAGGAACAGCTCCAAGGCACAGAGCACTCTGATCAGGTCCTTCCTCCTCACCAAAGGGCAGGACACTACAGATCAATGCAATGCCTGGAAACCTACCAAGCAGGCTAAGCACTTCTCTTTCCAGATTTCCACTTTGTGGTCATGTAATGGCACAAGTAATCTCAAGCCAAGAATGGCAAAGTAAATGCTGTGTACCACAAAGATGACAGCTTGGAGCAAGCTGGCTCCCTGAATGGACCTGCCTGGAGAGATCTCTTCCCCAATATCACCAGGTGCCACCAGGTGACCTTCAGACAGCCAGCACCAGAGAAACCCACAGCTACCCAAGATCAGCCTTCTTGACTGCAAGGCCCAGCACAGCAATTCATACTATCCTTCAACAAAACCAGGAGTCCTGCTCAGCCTAAGGGTCCTCCACTTGAGCCATAATGCAAATTTTAATGAGCACAGGTAGGGAAGAAAGTATAGGAAAATCTCAAAGTAATTTGTCCCCTTCTGGTGGCCCTCAATTTTTAAAAGATATATTATTTCCTACAGTACTATTATATTCTGGCCTAAGAAAAGAAATTTCTCTGACCCAACCCTCTAAAAGACATCAAAGTTGTTCCACGCCCTGTCAAAGGCCTTGACCATCACCTCCCTCCTCTATATCCTCATCTCTACCCCATCCCAAGAATACAGATCAATACTGGCTATTGTGAAAGTCACACTAGCCACCCTCATTCCTACCAAACAGCAATCCAGACCATTCAACCAGACCGGCAGAAGCCTCTCCTGCACATATTCTCACAGCACCATATACTTCTCTTTCCTTGCACATATCACTTATGTTTTTACATTGCTTTCCCACTAACCTATAAATGGACAAGGATCCATGTCATTTTTGTTTTGCTTTTTTGTTGTTTTTAAGTTTTAAGGGTCTTTGTTTGTTTGTTTGACTGGTTAATCACTATATCCCAACATAGTACCTCGGAATCCTCCAGGTTCTTTCAAAATACACCCCAAATTTCATGCCACCCAGCTCAGACTTGGCCTCTCCCTTCTTGCTCTGAATCCAAGGCCCAAGTTGCTTCCTGAGCTTATGGAAGACTCTCTCTCCTCCTCTCTCCACAAATCCCAACTCCTCTATCAACAAACCCAGACAGTCCAGGGGAGAAAGTCCCCAACTAGCCTTGGGATTGACCAACTTCAGAAGGAAACCAATCAGAATAATTATCTATTTTCTTTTTGTACAGTTTTTTTACTCACACTGCATTAATTATTTTAAGATGACTTTCTAGTATGCAAAATAAATCCTCTGACCTTGAAAAGGTCTTCCGTCTCCCAGAACAAATCCCAGTGAGGCCATAACCAGTGCCAACATCTTCCGGACCTGAACCGCGCTGAAGCTTCCAAGACGCTCAATGTGAGATGGCTCCCTCTTCCCTAACACCTCTCACCTCAGTCCCACTGCCCAGCTGTCTTCCTACCACACCCGCTGGCAGACAAAAGTGGGTCTTTGGGAGCTTTTTAAAGCCTCCTACCTACTCCACAGCTTCAGTAGGAGGGAGGATAAATGTTTCCAAGTTCTTTGAGTGACACAAAGCTCATAAAGTACAACAAAATTAGTTGAAAAATAACAAAACAATTTTAGCTCCCCCTTCAAAAAAAAAAAAAAGAACTCCTACTTTAAATGATTCACAATGACTTCATACTTCTTCCATGAGACGTATTCCTCCTCCCAAAGCTAAATAAAGGTTCCCTCTCTTCCCCTCCTAAGACAGTATAGACAGTATAGGGGTAGGGCCAGGTCCCCACAGATACCTGTTCTATCTGATTTAGGGTCCCCTGAGTAAGTCTTGACAAAGCCCTGGGGACCCCTGCAGATGGCCAGAGGCTCCTTCCCCAGGAAGGGGACTG